AACCCTACCAGGCCGAACTCAACTACCTGCTCCAATTGTTTTCAAAAAACGGTCACCCCAGAGAGTTCATGCGTCGATGCATGATACGATAAGAGTTTAAGCAAAAAGACGAGGAACCAGAATGTTTTGATCAACCGTCCTTTCCAAGAAATTGGCGAACTCTTCCATATATTAAGAACTTGCCTTAACCCTCTCAAAGATGCCCGAGGAAGTACCAGATGCGAGTGGCGCACAAACCAGTGACCACACTTCGAAATCAGCTTGTGCACCCTAAGGATGTGGTTGGTTATTTGAACAAAGAAGAGGTCATTTATAAAATTCCTTGCGGCGACTGCGATGCAATTTATTGCGGACAAACAGGAAGGTCCGCATCTACACGCATATATGAACATCAATTAGCGGTGAATAAGCGCGACTGGTTGTCTGATGTCGCCATGCATTCACATGGAAGTGGGCACAAGTTTGCATGGGACCGAACCTGCATTGTAGGTTCCTGCCCATACAAGAAAGTCCTCGAAGTTTTGAAGGCTATTAATCCTGACGAATCATGCATCGAGAGATAGGTTGAGTTGGATTCAATGCACACCGATCTTAAAAAAAACCTGCAAAAAGGGCCAACCACCAAAACCTGCTACTGACCATGAATTACGCAGCATTATCGATTTTTGACACGTTCAGAAGTGCGCACTGCTCTTCGCACATTTCCCTCGTGTCCGAAGACGACCTGCTATGCCAGCGTCGAAATTTTACAATAAAGTTTGTTCCTGTTTCCCTAATAATCTTTTCTATCCAACATCAGGAACTATTACGAGTTTTACAAAATTTATCGGAAGCCCATCTCTCGTGGTTTTATTTGCATTTCTGTACTTCGATACAAAGTCATTATAGGTGTATTTCCAGTTGACGGCTACTTTTGCGCAGTTCTTCATATCTATTACTTGTTGTTGTCATTGAATTCTTTGCACGCCAAACATTGGGTTACTCGATTTATTGTTTCTATCACTTTTTCCTTTTAAATGCTCCACTATATATTTCAGTTTTCCTGTGGTATAACCCCACCAGCTAGGGATATCTATGTACCGCGAGAATCTTTTCAGTTTTTCTTCTATGTTTCGAAATATATACATTGGAATACGTTACTCCAAATTTTATGTAATTTATGTCTAAGTTTTATACCGTTTGTTGTTCGCACCTAATTTTTTCGAAGGATTTCTTTCATATTTCTGACTATAAGTCTAGGCCCCAGCTTGGATAGAGTGAATATACGAAGCTAATGTGGGAGTACTTACATACATATCAACATCCGCGTAGGAGGGAGGACCAACTCAAAATATGGAAGGCAGATGCTTATCCGACGGGAATGCGGTATCGTCGGTGAACTGGCACCGTCTGCACAAGGAATGGGAAGAGGGCTGATAGTATACAAAAGACTATTGGCAATGGCTGACTTAAAAGAAATTTTAACGGGCAGGTAGAGAGGAAAAATATAAAAAATGGAGGTTATTTGGGGATACTAGGTCACCAGTACACCTCGATGAATTCCGTCGCCAACAAATGCGGTAAAAAATGTCCATTCGTCAGTCAAGGAAATACTATCTGTCGAGAATCCTCCAATACGCTGTGGACAGGCCCGACATTGTATTCTGCTATATCATAAGACGTCTAAATAAACAAGGATGAAGTTGCAGTATTCATGAATGACAATGGTTTAGAAAATGGCGAGAAGGCCGAGTACTGTGGCCGGTTAGTTGACTTGGTATCTAGTAGTGAAACCGAGCATCAGTTGCACCATGTCAACACTGTTGTGGTTATCTATTATACAGCGTTTTAAACTCTAGAAGTCCTAACAGCCTGCTGCTCTCGACTTAGCGGTGAACTCGCGTACTCTAAGAAGACATAAGTGCGGCTTAATCTATGCTTATTTAACGAATACGTGTAAATTGTTTCACGTGTTCGAAAAAAGCACGGCTTTAATTCCAACTGCCAATTTCCACGCTCACTAACGACATAACATTGGATATAAGACTACTCAAACTAGCCAATAGGCGCAGGCACGGCTACTTTGATACCCTTGAAAATAGGACATATAGCCTCTCCCGTGGTTAGATTAACCGTAATTATTTGCGTGAAAAAGTGCATTCCTCGCTTATGGGCACTTGGTGCGCATGCTTGTATCAGAAGAGCTCAGACTTAACAAGTAAATATTAGAGAAAATCGATTGCACGCATTACGAAGCACAACACTTAGGCCGGCTTCAACGTGCACATGACCACCAGCAGAAATGTAGCGGTTCCACAGTCAAACTCCTAGAATTGCTTGACACCACAGAAAATCTCGCAAGGCCAATATTGGTCGCCCAGTCGCGCCCTTTTCAGCGTGATGGATCATGTCCGCGCCGACGCACGACAATTGCCCTCGCACGACCCGTGCGCACTGACGCACTGTAAACTAGTTGGGCTAATAAGCGTCTCGAAGCGCTAGTGGCCAATCATTTTTCTTAAGCGCTCTCCAGTCCTCGGGCATTTTCTGCACTGACGGACTCTGAAGAATCCGCTCTGAGCGGGAGGCCTGTTCATACGCCCTCCCGACTGAACGCCATGCGGGATCGAGTGGCAGCTTCCTCCTTGGTCTTCTGTACACAATATA